CCAAGAAGACCTAACGGTCTTGTCACTGAGCACCGCGAAAGTGCATTTAAACAGGAAGTTCACACCTCCTTCCATACCGTGACGCGAAATATGTCCAAAGCTCGTTTCGAACATGGATCTTCTGCTTATAAAGCAAGCGCTCTAACCACTGCGCCACGGCCGCACAAACTAGACGTAACATTTTATATACCGATACGTAACATTTTGACCTAATGAGATGTGACATTGTAACCTGTGGTATTGTTCTAACTTTGCGGCTCATTAAATTAATAGATTGTTTGTATATGATAATATATCTACATTAGAAAGTATATATACACATAAACATGTTTTTTTTTTTAGTTGTTTATTGTTTATGTTCTAACAGTTTATTCTTATAGTACAATATATTATGCTAAAGGAAAAACTCTCGAATAAAAACTATAAACAAATGCATAGATAATAGTAAGACAGTAATATTACACGCATAAAAAGTATTCAGTTTTTCTAAATAACCAAGTAAAAAATACAATACTTGGTATTGTGATTTATTCTCCTCTGGTTAATTGCCATATAATGGTTACATACCAGGGCATGCAAAGAAGAGTTCACTTAAGAGCGTCATAACCCCCTTTGCAGACTAAGAGTAAGTGATTTTAAGAAGAACGAAAGATTAAAGAATGAAAGTCAGAAAAAGGCAAGTTAGAAAAATAGCATAGAGATAGCGTACAGATAATGCACGGAATGTTAGAATGTGCATTTTATGTTCAATATTAAGTTGACTTGATAGACACTCTTGTTACGTATAAAGTTTTACATAAATTACGTAAGATCGTACGTATTGCGTATTAAATGGAAAACACGAATTAATCACAATACTTACCTATCATAGGTATTGTGGTTTATCGGCTTATTGCCATACAGAGACCACATTACAAAGGTCCACGAAGACAAGTTCAACTCACTGAAAAGCTTCATAACCCGCCTCGCAGGCCAAAAGTAAGTGAGTTTAGAAGAGCGAAAAATAATAAAGTGCAAGTCTGAAGAAGCCGAGTTAGAAAGATAGCATAGAGAAAGCGGACAGCGGACAGCACTAATGTAAGAATGTACAACTTATTAATACTTTATATTATTATCAGATATTATTTTTGTAATGCCAGCGTGGCCGAGTAGTTAGCTTGCAGAGCTTTTGAACTAATTACCTATTATAGGAGTATTGTGGTTTATTTCGGCCTGCGGAGTATTGTAGCTTATCCGGGCCTGCGAAGACTTTTACCATCAACTGCCTCGCTTACTAAAAATAAGTGAGTTTATAAAGAATGAAATAAGTTAGAATCGAATGTCAGAAGAAGTCAATTTAGAAAGATAGCATAGAGAAAGTAAACAGATATTGCACTGGGTGTTAGAATGTGCAATTCATACTATTAATTAGATTATCAAATTAATTTATTAGTATAAACATAATCAACATAGCTGATAACGTTTGTTTATTCTTATTATAACCTATAATTATATACCTATTATACAATACTTACGTTTTATTAAATTCAAATATATATATACATATATATATATATATATATATGTATATATATATATATATGTATATATATATATATATATATATATATATATATATATATATATATATTTATATATATATATATATATATATATATATATATATATATATATATATATATATATATATATATATATATATATATATATATATATATGTATATATATATATATATATATTCACATTTTCTAATTATTTTCCAACTAACCACTGAATTTTTATTATAACCTTTTAAGTTTCAAACTTCTTTTGACGATTCTGTATCGTTTTTTTATTTGGGGATATTAAATGATTTTAAATCGTTGGCATATCTCAGTTTAAAAGGTATTTCACTCATACTAATGTATAATTTTTTTTATTTAAGAGTTATCCGAAATAATAGTTGCTTCATATACACTTTTGTTGATCAAGTAGTTAGAATTGCGTTTTACTCTATTAAGTAAAAGGTAATTGTTTTTATGAAGGCAGTTGCAGTTATTTTTATTGATTGGTTGGATTTTGATTGGTTGGATTTTTGTTTAGGATGTGCTTGTTTTGTAAATTTATTACTGATTTTATGTTCGGCATGCAAATGTAGCTGATTTTTACAGTTTTCTTGTTAAAAATTTTATGTAGTTTGCGGTTAATTGAAAAAGGTTTGGCAATCAATATTAAAAAGCATTTTCCTATATTTGTGGAGACAATTATGCTAAAAAGAGAGGTGTACCAGATTATTTTGCGTGTACGGTTTTTCTTTAGTTGTTATTTTAAGTTAGGTTAGTAAAATAGATTATGTTTATAACCAGAATTTCGTAGAGCTTTTTTTTAAATAAATACAGATTTCTTAAACACTTCTTCGCTGCTAGAATTTCCTGACAATCTCAGTTCAACATTTCGTGGTAGTTGTTTTAGTATATTTGGAGGGTGGTTTAATTGAGCATGTATGTAGTTAAAAATTAAAAATTTTTGCAGTATGGTTGGTATGACTTATTGTAGATGATAAGAGTTACGTCAAGATTTATAATTTTGAGGTTGTACTGTATAGATATGCTGAGATCATTACATTTGAATAAGTGCGTGATATGCTTTTTAATCTTCTCCGTTTGCGAACCAGTAGCATTTTAAAAAACTGTTAATCCTTCATCGCTGTATAAGTCAAAGTCATATTTTTTTATAAAAATTTGAGCTTTGAAAAAGAATGAATATGACAACAAATTCACATATTCCGCCCCATCAAGCGCACCCTTTGTAACGTCAAACAAACCGCTAGATTTTTTCATCCAAACGTGGTTATTATTAAACAGTTAAGGTTTCTATGCATGAGTAATAATTGATTTATATTCTGTGCTTATAGTGAGATTTTTTTACGCAAAATTGATAGAATCATTAAGAATTTTTTCACTAATTGAATGGTAAAAATTGTTGATATCAAAATGATGAATTGAATAAAGATGTTTACCTTTTACATTTTTAAACCAATTGATAACATTTTGAGTGCTTTTCCACTAATTTAGATGCAAAATATTTTTTAACTCAGAGTTTAACTTTGAAAGAATGTTTTTACTAATTCTAACAACTTCATTTTTTGAGGATTAAATAATCTAACTGCTGGGTTGTTTGTAAAATTAGTTTTATGGTCTTTTAAAGTTATGAAGCAATTAGAAGATGTATTAATGTCAAATTTGTTAAAAATAGCACGATCCTTTAAAAACTTTTGCCTTCGTTGTTTATTTTATCTTTTGATTTTAAATTAGTTAGTTTGTAGGTAGAGGTAATAGTGTTTTTCAACAAGTGGTTATAATTGTGTTTTGATAAATTATACAGATTAGAGGTTTTATCAGGATAGGTATAAGTTAAGTTAGATTTGCGGTGTTATGTTATATGTTGGAAATATCGCTTTTTAGTCTACTTTTAAAACTGTTGGATACAATACGAAACTTGATGTATTTTATTAGCTCTAATGAATTGCTTTTAAAAAGTTAACAGTTCGTTGATTTGCTTTGGACAATGCGGTGTGTTTAACCCATAAGAACATTTAGAAGCGTATTTTGCAAACTACTATTTAGAAAGAAACTTTATAAACTACTGTTTTAAAAAGAAACCTTCCTTCGCATTCTCTTGATCAACAACAATAACAATAACAATGACAATGTATACTATGAAATAATATACATTGTCATTGTTATTTAAAAAGTTTAATATACATTGTCATTGTTACACTGTAAAAAATTTCACGCCAAATTCTTAAATGTTCCATGAAAATGTTTAATTTTCACGCCACTTTTAAATTTTTACAAAGAAGTGCTTAAAGTCGCGCGACTTGCTACTAGTGCTGAGCATTATTTTGACCAATCCGGATAACGGATTACAATTATTTAATCCGAATTTCGGATCAATCCGTTTTATCCGGATTCACGGATCCAATCCGTCGATTCGGATTTCGGATTCAATCCGTTGATTCGGATTTCGAATCCAATCCGGCTTCATTATTTTTGAGATAATCAGCTATTTTTTCATTATTATCAAGTATCAACCTAAATAATTCGAATTACAATCTCAGATCTATTGATAATCTACTCAATATAAGACCCCTAATAGCAAATACACCAGGGTTTTCGAGTTTTTAACAATTTATTATTAGATACCCACCTATGAAGTAGGAACTAAGAATTAGAAAGTAGCAAGTAGGTATTTACTATTTTTTTTAATAAAAAAAGGAGATGTTATGTGCGCATTTGTTTGCAATTCATAGCCAAATCTAACCTCATGTGGTTTTAAAATAAAAAGTCAAAGTACAAGTACTTTGAAATTTGAGACATTTTTAATAGGTAAACTTTAAAATATCAACAGTTTAATAACAAAATATGATATATATAAAATATGATATAATGATATAATACAAATTACGATACGATACGTAATAAGTACTAATGTAATAACAAATTACTGAGCTGTAAATTAGTAACTAGTAGACTACAAAAAACTACAGGACAGTGAGTACTGAAAATAAATAACATTGCTTTATGACTGACGACTGTTATTAAATATTAATAAAAGTACAATGTAATTACTCAATGTAAATACTTTAAATTTTGACGAAATGTTTATATTAGTGTTAAGTTTTTAAAATTTTAAATTTAATTTTTCCAAGTATTTTTTTTTTTGAAAAAAAAATTAAATCGGGCCGATTTATATCATAATCCGGATTGGGTATGTTAATCCGGATTAAACGGATTGTTACTTTTGTTTCAATCCGGATCAATTCGGATCGGTAATCCAGATCGGTAATCCGGATATGGATTGATCCGGATATGGATTGATCCGGATTTTGTTCTCACCGCTACTTGCTACATATAACAAGCAGTTATCAATGTCACGGAGAACATAACAGTTTAAATGTCACGCCATACTAATAAATTTCGCGCCACGCGCTAAATGTCGCGTGACAAATAAAACGTATGAGTGTCCGCAGTGAAAAAAAGGAATATCACATTAATTAATTTTTCGTGACTATAATGTCTAAAATAATTAAAGTTTCTTATTTATTAAAACTTATGCCAGTGGTTTTGGCTGTAGATGATAATTTGTTCACGCTTAAATCTAAAGGTAAATATTTCTTTGTAACGAGTTAATAAATACACTTAACATAAGTTGTCATAACTTATGACAGTAAAATAAGTTAGTAATAGATCTGAGACAAGTATTTTCAATGATATATTAGGAATACGTATTCTTAATTTATAATTGTTATTCTTAAGGGGCTATCCCCCCATAAAATTTCAAAATTTTCAATTTTTTTATTTTTTTTTAATTTTAACTTTTTTAAACTATGCAGAATCATAAAATTTGTTTTGGATGTATCAGATTAATCTTTAACTAAATTCATAAATTGTCTATTTAAGTTAACCACCCCTTAAGTAATTTCCTTAGCAACGTCATAGCAACGGACATAAACAATTTTATACACCATACTTTTATCTTAATTTCATCTAAAATAGTGTTAGTTTTGCAATGCATAAGCTTGAACAACTTCTTGATGCGTTTTTCTAGAATTTACCAATTCCTTGGTACATCAAGTACGACAATATTCTTTAGTTCAGTCAGTTCTTGAGATTTTATTAGGTAAGTTTAATTAGTAAAAATGGGAAAGCTTGTCGAGTTAAAAAATGTACACAAACTCATAAAAAAAGGAAAAGGTTTATGGGAAACGTTCAAAATTCTGTTAATACTGTTATTTTATCTGATAGTACTATTATCGAATTGCCGACAATAAATCCAAGTGCCCCTAACGTCACTTGTGTTACTGAACCAATTTTTGAAAATCCACATAGTTTGTCAGCTTCAGCTCATAAAATCGAAAACTTAGAAGATACAATTATTTCAAAATCTACCATATCTGGTTATCGTATAATTTATGTTGCTGTTTTACTGTCTATTTTAAGTTTTGTTCTGTGTCTAGAGTGTGGTTGTTCAACACTAAGTGGGAGGTATACTCAACGACGTGGTTTATCATCCTTACTATATCTTAAGTGTATGAAAAGAGGTTGTAACTATTTTCAAAAGTTCTACACTTCTAACTATGACAATAAAAAAGGATTTGAGATCAATAAACGAATAATTTATTGAATGCGATTATTGGGTCATGGATATGCAGGCATCAAAAAATTTTGTACCATTATGAATCTACCTAAGCCAATGACAAAAAACATTTTTGAAAAAGTGATAAAAGTAATTTCAAAAGCTGTTAAAACTGTAGCAGAACGAACAATGTTAAATGCTGCTAATAAATTGCAAAATACAGCTTTGAAAGTAACCGATATTTGTGTATCTTGCAATGGAACATGGCAAAAACGAGGATACTCATCACTCAACGGAGTCTTTTCTGCCATCTCTACTGCTAGTGGCAAAATTTTAGATGATGAAATCATTTCCAGGTATTGTAAAGGTTGTAATTTAACTCAAAGCCTCCAAAAATCTGATCCAACTGGTGTTGGCATCACTATTTCATGTTGCTTCCTCAAAAAATAATAGCTTACATTTCCCACACTGCCCCACTGGTGCAGACAGCTGGTGCAAATACAATGCCGATAAAATAAATAAGACATTAACCTATAAGCCAGGACCGGGTTTACCAATGGATGTCATAATTAAAGTAAGACCTATATTCAAGGGTTTAAGTAAAGACATTGAGTTACAAAAATGTGTGCACGGTAAGAAACAAAATGCCAATGAATCTTTTAATGGAATGATTTGGAGGCGTATACCAAAACAAACATTTGTATCACTTACCCAATTAGAAATTGGTGTATATGATGCTGTTGCCAATTTTAATATTGGAGCAAAAGCATCTATTGATATTTTGAAGCAACTGGACATGGAACCAGGCTTTCATATGATTGCAGGATGCAAATCATTAAATAATGAAAGATTACAAAAAGCAGAAATTAGAATGAACCCTGTTAAAAAGTTAAGAATGCAAGTATTACGTGCCAAGAATCTGAAGAAGAATGAGAAAATAATTGAAAAAGAAGGTGACTTGTATGTTCCTGGTGGATTTTGAAAACTTTGTTTATTTTTCAACAGTTTTTATGAAAAAAATTGTATTGTTTTCAAAAATTATAACTTAAATTGTCTTTTTCTCAAAATAGAAATTTATGCACGCCGGCCAAATTATCTGGAGAACCCTATTACATTTTTATATGAAATTTTCAGGAAGTGTTTATCATATTATACTCTGTGAAATGAATGGAATGGAATTTATTTTATTAAAAATATATATATATGACCTAAAATCAATGAAAATTTTAACCATGATCTTTGATTGCGCCATTTTGATGATGGCAAAATGTTATGAAAAATCTGATCCATTCATTACACAGCCCTACTTTATGATAATATTGTATTAAAATTTTAAAAGGTAAATATGTACGTATACACATATTCTTATATTTTGACCAGCGTGAAGTTGTTTTTTGGTCATTTTAGGGGTATTTTTTGGTTACCAAGAAAACTACCAATTTTTTTTTAATTTTTTTTTTAAAAAGGTTTATATTTTACTAAAACCTAGAAACCCATAACATTTTTTTTTAAATACTTAGGTTTAAAAACAGAGGGGGTAGCCCCTTAATACATTATTGAGTATTTTAAGCTTTTTTTATTATACACTATGATAATGTTATTGTGTACATTGCTATTATTCGCTGGAACTGATTGCCAATCAATTATTTATAATTATTATTATTGTTAAAGAAAACTTTATTAGGCTTTTCTATTGTCAGTGTCTGTGTTCAGGTTGACAGTATCTTTGTTCCGGACCTGGCCTTGCTAGCTTTTTTTAAAAAATAGAACTTATTAAAAACAATCAAAAAAGTTTTGAACCATAATGGCGATGGTTCAAAAAACAAACAAATACGAAAATAATACACATTGATTGTTATGTCATATCAATATATCTGTTGGTAGAATTTTGATATCATCTAAGTCCTACTTTTTTGTTGTTTTTCTGGCTACTTAAATTGTTCTGAAAGTTGTATAAGTAATTTTTTTGCATTCCAATCAAAATTTCTAATCATGACAAGGATTACAACTTTCAACAAAAAGAAGTTTTTTGTTGCACTAAAATATTTACTTTTATTGCACTAAAAGTTAATGGTTTATTGCAATAAAATATGAATAGTTGAATTTTGATTTAAATCGTTCTAGAATTTGTTCTGATAATTTTGTTACAGGTTTAGATTTTAAATTTTTAATTTGGTTTTTATTTTTATATAAGATTATCTAAAACTAATAAGTAAACTCTACAATTCGCATATTTTTACATTTACAGTTGATAGAAATTACTTAATTGATAACACAGCTGCATTTTAAATCAATCATTGAATCAATTTTTTACCGTTAAATGTTTTTACAGACAAGGTTATTCATAAATTGTATAAACTAATTAAATTAACACACAACAATAATAATTACAATACTTACGCATGCTAATACCTTTAAGTATACATAGTTACAGTTACAAACATGTTTTTTATTTTAAAGTAATAATTTTACTTTCAGTATATGGTTTCAAAATTTGTGACAATAGTATTATCAAAGTAAAATTATAAAATAAGTTGAAAATTCAATTTGTAAAATAATATCTGTTAGACAATCTAATTACTATTTTTAAACTAATATTGTATTCTAATGATAATGCTATCTAATGTTGTTAAACTTAGTTTATAATAGAATTCTCATAGTTTTACCCAATTTATGCATAAAATATACAAAAATAATATTTTGCTATAGTGTCAAGATCAATCTATTACCAGATGACTTTGTTCAATTTAAGTTCAATATGTAAAATTATTTGTAAAATTTGTAATGCCTCATTTAAATTATCAAGAGGAGTATCAAGGCACACTTGCAAAAAAAATGGAAAACCAGTTTTACCTTTTCCTAAGATCAAAATAGACTTTCAAACAACATTAGCAATTAAACTATGCGGTCAGTTGAGAGTGCCTTCAACAACTATCAACACAATATTTAGTATTTCAGCAAATATGCTATTTGATATTCGAAAGTTTATAAAAGAAGAACATTTTCCTACTTTTGACAAATATTTCGCCAGAGTGGATATTCTTAGTGACAAATATCAAAAAGAAAAATTGTTAAATGGTTTATTTAACATTTTAAAAATAAATGAAGTTGTGTTTGAAGGTGGAAAAGGTTTCTATTTTTCACTATTTGACATTATTAATTTCTTGTTGCAGATTGATGAGTTTGTACAGCTTTTATGTAGGGAAGAGGCTGAAACAAATTATCGAACAGATTTCTCCACCCACAAGCCACTTAAATTTTTTCTTAGCTTGTATTGTGATGACATAGAACTAGCAAACCCTATTGGTAAACATAGAAAACTTCATAAACTAACTATTTTCTATGTTCATTTTCATTTATTGCCATCCTATATGCGCTCAACGTTAACATCAGTTTTTCCACTTGCTGTTGTGCCTGTAAAGTTATTTAAGTTTAATAAAAAAGGGGCTTATTTTCAGTACTTAGAAGATTTTATTACTTCCTGTAATCTCTTGAATAATGGTTTTACTTTTAATTCAACAATTGGTTATGTAAAACTATTTTTAAAAGTTGTTGTATATTCAGGAGATACATTAGCTTTAAATCACATTTGTGGGTTTAAAACCAGCTTTGCACCAAGTGTATTTAGATGTTGTCGTTTTTGTCTCACCACAAATAAAGAAATGTCAATAATTTATAGAGAAGACATGTGTCGTTTACGTACTCATGCAAACCACCATCAACCATGATCTCAAAAGTGTGACAAGTAAAAAAGCAAAACTTTATTGATCAAGGTTTTATGGTATAAATTATGAGTGCACTTTTATCAATTGCCACTTTTGATATTATTGAAAACACACCACACGATCCTATGCATATTTGCTGGAAGGACTACTGCCACATGAACTATGCCTTCTGCTGCAATTACATGTTGCTGAAAAACACATTTACTTACTAGCTGTTCTCAATAGTTTTATTGTTCAGTTTCCTTATTCATACTCTGAAACCAGAACCAAGCCTAATATTTTCCCAAATACATTTGATATTTCAGGGTCACAAACATCTGCTCAAATTTTGGTTCTAGTTCGTATTATTCCACTTTTAATTGGACAATACAGTGATTGCAATGATCTTCATTACATTAATTTTCTTGATATTTTGGAAATTCTTCAATTTACATTGTCACCAATAACTACACATAGAACTGTTTTGGATTTACAATCTCTTATCGAAAGACACAACAAATCTTTTGCTTTGTTATGGCCAAATAATCTAATACCAAAGCATCATTTTTTACTGCATTTTGTTGGACAAATGCATCGGTTTGGTCCTTTAAAAATCAATTCTGTATGACCTTTGAAGCTAAGCACAATAAAATAAAGAGTGTACGCTGGTACTGCTTTAAAAACATTGTTAAATCAGTTTGCGAGCCTCTTCGTTGGAATACGGTTTCAAACTTCCTTGATGATAATGGCCAACTTATGGCTTACCCTTTTACGGCTAAAACACATCAATTTAAAAAAAGAATTGTGATTGGATCACTTGTCTACCAAGTTGGTGATATTATTTCAACAGTTAATGATTCTTATCAACTGTATAAGATCACCAATCTTCAACCTAATGGTGTAAAAGTATGTATCATGAAAATTGAGAGCTATATACCTCTCAAGCTTGCTTTTTCTGTCAAAAGTAGTAATATGTTCCAATCAATTACTTTAGAAACTCTCCAAATTCCGTGGCCATTGACAAAATATACTTTAGATGGTACCATATTAGTTGTACCTAGATCTAAACATTGTCTTCTACTTGCTTAGTTACAATAATTGTTTCATATAAAAATAATTATTTGAGGCACAAAATTAGAAAAAGATACAGAGTCAACATTCCTAGATATTATATATAGATACATTTCAGAGATATATGTATTTTAAGAAAGATTTCAGAGATATATGTGTTTTAAGAAAGGCTGAAAGTTGATTCTATCAATTTTATTAGTTTAATTTTTATTTCTTTATATTTTTTATAACTATAAAAAGTATAATAATAACCAAATAACTATGTGAAAGTTTCAAAGTATGTGGAACTTTCTAATTTTATTTTTGAAAGCCATTCATTAAAAATTGTTAAGATTGCCAATAATTATGATTTCAATTAAATTTTTGTTTTATTTTGTGGCTTATACCTAACTCTGTGCAACTGTGTCAATACCTCCATTTCATAGAGTTTGTACCTTTATCTACCTTGTGCCTTATTTTGCAGAAGAATATATTTTATATATTAAATATTATTTTCTAAAAAATAGTCTGTAGCCCAGTTAATTTTGTTATTTATATGCTTGCTCAAGTTTTATTTAAATCAATAGAATATATAATATATGTATATTTTTTTCTAAAAAATTAGTTACCTATTTTTTCGATGGATTGCACCAATTATTTAAATGGTTTGGTGCCTTGTCGCAAGCATACCTTTGAGATAAGTTATTGGTAGTGAATTGGCACATTATCTCCAAGGGTGTCTCCCTGATGGAACCCCTTCCATTAGAAAGAAGTTTTATCGTTATGTTACTTTACTTTTGAAACAGTCGTATCCAAACTTTACTTTTGGAGAAGAGGGTGCAGTAAGTTTGAATTATTATTTAATGTTTTATTTTAAAATGTTTCACACAAAAAAAAAATTATTAATAAAACTAATAGCTCACTATAAACTCTTTAAAATGTTTAGTTGAGCAGAACATAGTTTACTTTCATTATCCTAAATAGGGTAAATTTAAATCCAACATCTAGATCTATGTCAAGATGTAGATCTCGATTTAAAAAATCTTGAAGTAAAATTCATTATACATGTCACATTCATGTGTTATACAAGATATATTATTAGTTTTACATTTTGTTTTTCAGAGTAGTGTTGTATTTCGAATGTTATTCGTAAGCGACGTGAGCGAAAAATAAAAAAATTGGCAAAAGTCTAAGAATGCAAACAGAAAGCTTAACATTGCTGGAATGAACGATGCCTCATTTGATGATGAAATACAAGTAATACTCATAAGCTTTCGAAATTTAAAATCTTTTTTTATCAATATATTTTATATACTAATTATATACTAATAGAAATGCATTTTATATTTTTAATAATTACAGTAACAATTTAAATACAAGAGTTATTGCTATATTTTTGTTAGTGTGCTTTGGTACAAAGAATTCCAGATATTGAACACATCCGTTGTTTAGTTAGGAATATGCGCTGTTCTCTGCCATATTTACAACACAAAGATCACCTGTTCCATCTCGAGATTGTAAGAAAACAATACCTATACTATTGGTAAATTTACTTTGTTGTTATATATTGTCGATTGTTATATAGGCTACAAATTTTTTTAGGTCATGGACGAGTTCGAAAGAATGAACATTATAACAAAAGAAAGTGCATTAGATAAGCTAATGCAAGTCGTTGAGAAATCGTATCCTGGTATGCCTATTGCATCTGCCCTAATTAAATTTCACAACAACACTACCAGAAGAGGGGTGCTGTGCCCAGTTGTTATTGCTGGTGTAAGTTTAACGAAAAATTGTTTAATTTTTTTCTTTTATTATTATATTTTTTTTTAATATTAAGATATATAAAAAATTTGAGAACATTATTGTTATTATTATTTAATATTTAGGCTGAAGATATTAGTTTTTCTCCTGGGCCTCAACTCATCTTAGGCGAAAATGTAAGACTTGTCGACAAAGGAAATATTGCAATCGGACAACGCCATAACGATGCACTACACGTCCTTCAACTTCTGGCATATTATTATATAATGGACCTATCGTACCCAAGGTCGTTTGGAGGAGTTTTAGGGCTACTGCAGAATTATGTCTTGCAACTTCCATTTGATTGCACGAATAAGCTTTGGCTCAAAAAATGTAAAATCTTGTGAGAAATGTTGCCGTGTTATATTGACATCTTATATTGACTTCTGAACTATGAACAACTTATTTACTTAAATATAAGCAAATATATTTGTCAATTGTGCTTGATGGCTTTTATTAAAGCAAATAAAATATAATTTTTATTGTTTTTTAGGTTTTCTTATTTATTATGTTTAATTGCGGCGTGACTTGTAAAATTTTTATTTGTCTCAGGAGATCTAAATCATCATCATGTCGCATGTCACCGGGACCGATTTTTCACGCCACATTTAATTTATTTAAACGTGGCGTGAAAAATCGGGCTTGCTGACATGCGACACGATAGCGTTTTAGATGTCCCGTGACAAATAAAAAGTTAAATGTCACGCCATACTTGATTTTAAAAAGTCGCGTGACAACTATAATTATAAATGTCACGCCAAACGTATAATCTGAAAGTTGCGTGACAACTATTTCTTTATGTCGCGTGAAAAATCGGGCTTCGTGACATGAGAGTTTTATTGGACAATTTGGCGTGACATTTTTTACAGTGTATTATGAAAGTTTATATTTCATGGTTGTTTACATGTATATATAAATTTAGTACATATAAAGTAGTAGTAAGCCATTGCATATAAATGTTTCGACTTTTATTTTTATTTGCTATTTTATTTTTTTCATTTAAAAATATTATTATTACAAAAATAATTATTTATTACAAAAAACTGCCAAGCCATCATCACGGTATAGACCAACTTCAAACTTGTTATAAAATTTTGAAATTTGAAAACGAAGAAATTTTCCTACCAGCTCACAAACCTCTGCATGGTTTATGCTTCTACAAAACCGTCAAATAAGGTACTTGGTTGCTTTATCCAAACCTGATTATTAAAAAGCAAAGAATATCTTGCATCTACGCTTTTCCAGCATATGTGATGAAAAAAATAAACTTAGGATAACTCTGAATTAAAATATATTTTGCATTTAAATCAGTGAAAAAGCACTCAAAATGTTATAAATTTTTAATTTTTGATATTATTACTCTACTCAGGGTTGCCACCAAATCAGGGAAATCAGGGAATTCAGGGAAAATCAGGGAAATTTAGATACACTCGGGGGAAATGATTGATTTAGGAAAAAATCAGGGAAAATCAGGGAATTTTTAAATTTTTCTTTAATGGTTTTATATTTTTTCCAATAAAAATCTTCCTTTTTAAGGGTACCAGGGTTAATGTTTAACATTTTTAAAGAAAATTAATCATATTGTGTTTACATTAATTTAATGTTTGCAACATAATTCAAAGAAAAATGGTTAATTGACCCTTTGTTTGAAAAATGGCTGATAATAGGCAAAAATGTCCAATTGGATCTAAAATTTCAGTTTTAGAGCAGCAATTTAAATCGTGTTGAATCCAGATACTTTGACTCTAAATTTTTAGGTTACCCCACAGCAAAGAATTTACTTCAAAGTATGACTCAACTAAGTATGGAAGGTACAAATGTGAACTGTTTCCTTCTTAATCTTCTTGAATTACAGCATGATCAACAAGAGCTACCTAAACTTCTTAACGTTGGAAGTTGTAACCTTCATACATGGTTAATACATGGTTTCAAATCGGGTTTTCAATCTGCTGAATGGAATATAAAGAAGTTAATGAAAGCATTATACAACCTTTTTTATGATTCTTCAGCTAGAAGAGCTGATTATGTAACTGTTACTAAATGTGAGAGTTTTCCTTGTGCATTTTGCTCTACACGCTGAGTTGTAGACCAAAAAGTTGTAGATAGACTTTGTTTAATTTGGGAGAATGTTTAAAAAAATAACCAAGTATTGGGAGACTCTTTCTAAAAGTAAGTAACCAAAATGAAAGAGCTATGACAAGTGTTTGGGGCAGAGTTGTTAACAAGGCCAAAATTACCAAGGCCGCTCATTATAAGTCCAAGGCCAAGATCAAGACTAAAAGTTATAAGGGGAAGGCCAAGAGTTTATGATTAAGGCCAAAACAATCAATACCAAGACCAAAATTTTCAGGTCAAGGACTAACAACTCTGGTTCGAGGGAACAAAAGATATGTTAATTCTGACTAAATTGAAGTTTTTTGGTTACATTGCAAGTTTTTTGCAGAAAATCTTACTGAGGTACCAAACCAATGCCCAAATGATTCCCTTTCTTTTTGAAGATTTGTTCTCAACTGTTGAAAGTTTAATGGGTTTAATTATAAAACAAGATCTCCTTAGCATCGTTAATGGCAGGAAACTTCAATAATATGATTTTACAAAAAAGGAAAACTTTCTGCTATTAAAATTAATGATAATAGGATTTGCTGCAGAACATGACATTATCGAATTGAGGAAAAAGGGTGCATTATCTCAGGATGTCATCATAGATTCATAAAAGATTGCTGTCTCATTATCTTTGAAATTCTGGAAAAAATAATAGAAAGAAGTTTGAATCAATTTTCTTTTCTGGAAGCAACTGCTTGCATCAATCCAGTGTCAAATCTTTCTAAACAAAAAGCTGATCTTCTTCAGATGAAATCTGTACTACATCTAGTTCTTTCTTGCTCACATATTACTTCAAATGAATGTGATCAAGCTTTCGTGCAATTTTTAAAGTTGTCAGAGAAAAGTTCATCTACTTTTATTTTGAAACGAATAAAGTTGGTGTAGATTATAAGGTTTTGTCAAAAGTTTTGATATTTATTTTTATGTCATGGGCAAGCATCAATTGAGAGAGGTTTCAGTATTAACAGTAATATACTCAGTGAAAAAATGAAAGGACTGTCACTTATATCTTGTTGCACTATCAAGGATTTTATGGTGTCAAACAAATTAAAGTCTCACAAAATAGAAATAAACAATGAAATGATAAATGGTGTTTGTAGTGCCTCATTACAATAAAAAAAACTATTTGGAGGAAAATAGAATACTCCAAGCAAAAGAAAATAGCGTGATAATGCTTTTAGATCAGGGAATATTGGGAAGAAAAGAAAAAAAGTATTAAACGATGTATGTAAAACATACAGTTAGAAATTTATTACATTCATTTCATTTTTTTGAATTTCGTTATCTTGTATCCTAGATAAGTCTGACAAGTTTTCAACACCTGTTGAACATATCCATTTTAAATATACCCTGGTTCGAAGAAAAATATCATATGTTGATTGAAGTATTTGATTATTTATTTTAATTTTTAAGCAAATTGATTGGTTAATTGCTTATTGGGGGATTATAGTATCTGTTTTTTTAGAGGTAAAAAATTCTCTGGGGTTATTAGGGAAGTTTTAATGCTAAGTTTGGGCATTTAAATGCTGGAAATATCAAGCAAATTTCAAGGGGAAAAATCAGAGGAAAAAAAGAAAAATTTTAGCAAAAAATCAGGGAAAATCAGGGAGAAAAATGTAAATATTTGGCAAAAAAATCAGGGAAAATCAGGGAATTTTGTTCCTAAATAACAGTGGCAACCCTGTCTACTCTCAGTAAAACACTTCTAAAAAACTCTATCGATTTTGCGGAACAACGCCTAACATTAAAATAAAAGAACATATTAATTCTTCATGAAAGTCTCTCCTAAACGTTACAAAGCAAAGCGTTATAACTTTTTTACCTGACTTCTAAGTCCCTAAAGAAGTAAGGTAAAAACGTGATAACGTTTTGCTTTGTAACTTTTTACCTTACTTTTTTAGGGACTACTTCATTATATGGAATAACAGATTAGAAAAAAATAACTATTATGGTTAATGCTAACTTACAAATTGTCATAAAAACTTCCAATGCATAATTGCATTTGAAATTGGCAAATTGGATTCCTCGATTTCAATATCCTTCGAACTTTGAGTCTTTTGTTGTCCTTTAAAGCAAATTAGAACTGACGCAGAATATCCAAAGTATGTGGATGAAGTTTCAATCAGTTGCAATGTTAGACGATGTGGACCTAAAAGGATAAAAAAGAAGAATGTTGTGATGAAAATAATGGTATGGTGTAGTTGGAAGTAACTGATGAAAAGAATGATGAAAAAAATATTGGTATGGTATAGTTGGAAGTAATTTTTTTAATTTTTTAAGTTTTAATTCATTTCCCCAAGGCCGAGTAGGTCACTTCATACGAGGAGGCTACTTAATTGTGGTTATCACCCTTTCTCAGCTCTATAACTCCGAAACACGAACTTTGACAAATAAGGCCACTGCGCGGAGAAAGAAGTTGAGCGCGATACTACTAGGACGTGATGGATATCGAACTCGGAACCTGTCGCTTACAAAGCGAGCGCTCTACCACTAAACCACTATGGCATAAATGAAGAAGTTGTATATTCAGTGTTGCTGGTATAATTAGTGGTGATACTAAGTCACCTTTGTTTTCTTTGTAGATCAGTTTTGACTTTTTTTTTTGTTATTTGATTTGTATTCCTCGTCCAAAAGGTACAGATGTTGTCTGCAAGTTTGTTCATTTTTATAATCCGTAAAAAGTAAATTTCCAATTTCTGAGTATGTTTTGCTGTGTTTATAAATATTATTGAGAGATCCTGGAAAAACCTTATTCAGAATTAAAAAAAAATTATCTGATATTAAAACAATTCATCTAATCATAAAGTCACCAAACAAATCATCCAGCCAATTTATCAGTCAAACAATATTTCTGCTAGATTTTTAATTTTTTTGCAAATTTTTATTACTGTGCACAAATACCATGTTTTTATAAAACTTTGCATAAAACAGTTTCCGATATTGTTAGTGGTGCCGATTGATTCCTCAGCATATATCATGTTTTTGTATATTTCAAAACAGGAAATGCAACCATATGGAAGCCGATTTCAAAACAGGAAATGCAACCATATGGAAGCCGATTTGGTCCACTTTATCCAACTCTTGTCACGAATCTAAAGCAACGGCAATAGAATTGTTAGCAAACTTAATTAAAATATACATCTATAATAAATTTGCCGAAGTTAATTAACTAATATTTTGTGTTATTTAAAAAATCAACCAGTTTTAAATTTTCATATTTAATAGTTTACTGATGTAATAGGTTAAATACCAACTATCGTGCTCATAAAAACAGGTAAGCCATAAATACCAATATCCAATTTAAATAAATTATTATCATCAATCAAACTAGCTTGCTTCAAAATAGGAATAAGTTGACATAAAGAATTTTGAAGACCAAAATGGTAGTA